GATGGAGCAGGGTGTGAAAGTAGGAGAGAATGGGGGAAGCTGTTGACCTCAGGCTTTTTAGAAAGCGGATGTGGGTGAGGAGCGTGATTGAGAGAGGACCCGGGCTCTAGACCCTGGCTGCTTTTTGTCTGCACTCATTTGCTTTCGAGTGTGTTTTTCGTGTGTGTGTGCGCGTGTTCACCATGGGAGTGATCGTGTGGGTGCACTTGAAGTTTCGCGTATCTGTACATATTTGAAATCTTCATGAGCTTCATATACTCGTTTGGCAACCCATCGCCATGCAGGCCTTAGTCATCGGAACAATTATCCCAAGCCACAAAGTTGACTCATGTTTGTCAAAGCGTAGCTTTTTGTTTTCTCTTTCTCTGCTGAAAGAACACGGTGATATGGAACCGTCCATAGTGCCTCGTCTTTAATACTGTTGGGTTCACTCCACCACGAGCAAACTCAGTTGACCTTAATGACTCAGAGAAAGGTCTTGTAGTGCCACGTTGTTTCCACAGAAACCAAATTAATCAAACATCGCTTGTAACATCCCTGGGTCTTCTCCGAATGTGACGTGTGTCTGGCATGGCTTTTATCTTTGTCTCAGGCCTGATGTAGACCATCATGTAAGACTGTGGTGGTGATGATATTAAACTTAATGTAAACCACCTGAAAGAATAGTCGTGAGCTTGCTCTATGGGCCCATAGATGCGGAATGTTGCCGGAAGATCCGGGTAATTTAATCTGAATTTTATACTTTGAATGTTACTCAGTGGTGCATGAAGCCAAAAAAAAGCTCTTTTCAAAGGAATGAATGGCACCACCTTCAACTCTGTATTCAGTTCAATTTAAACATCCATGGCCGCGAGCCGCTGACTTGGACGTCGCCATGTTGAGAGCCGTGTGGAGGCAACAGATATGCTCTGCATTTTGTATTGAAACTACTAAAGATCAAGACCTGGGGATAAACATGCATGGAGAATATAACAGCTGCTATAGAGGAACACTTTCAGTTGTGTGAACATTGTGTGGACATGGAGACCCTCTGTCAGTTTATAATGCTGGTCAGAATCTGATATAAAGAATCTTGTGACAACTTGTATCTTAACTGCAATGATAACCCAGGAAGATGGGAGGCTTTCTTCTTGTAGACTGAGTGTGCACACTGTTTTGCATTTAGCAATCATGAGATACTGATGTATTTTTAAGGCCCGGTGAACCGTGAGATTATTAAAACAACAAGACATGCTCGCAAGTTCTTCTCATCTCTGTCAGCCTGTGTTCACTTCACGCTTTGAGCCATGAGTGCAGTGTCCCACATTCTAAACTTACATTCGTTGTGATGAGTAACAGTGTTTTGCCATGGTTTGATCAAGTTAAAGAGGAGAGTACGTGTGTGTGTGTGTGTGTGTGTGTGTGTGTGTGTGTGTGTGTGTGTG